TAACACTCAGAGAATTTTTATGTTTTTTGCCCAAAATATCACCCTGAGGCCGGGTTGGGACAGGTGGATTTTTGCATTTTGGCTCCTTCCCTGCCGAAATGAAAATATTCTTAATTTTAAAAATCATTTTAAATGCTTGAAACTGAGAATATTGACACAAAAATAAACGTGGCCTGAAACAGAAAGTTCCTGGTGCTGGGGCAGCTGTTTCCCCTCAAACCTTTAATTTCTGCATTTCCACACCTAATTGGTAATTTTAATTAAATTAAATCAATAATTTAATTCAAAATAATTTAATTAACAATTAAATTTTACTTGTTAATTATTTTCAATTAAATTATTGATTTAATTTAGATAAAATCTCAGATAAAATTCCTTTTATTATGAACACAATAAATTATTACTATATTCCTTGATTTCATTGAAATTTATTTAATTTAAATTTATTAATTTTTATGAAAGTGATAAAGGAACATAATAATACTAAATAACTTTACTAAATACCTTTATTAAATAATTCTAAATACCTTTACTAAATAATAATTATTATTCCTTTCTGAGGAACACAAAAAAATCACAATTTGCCCATAAGGACATAATTATTTTTAATTATCAACACAATAAATTATTATTATATTCTTTTCTTAAATTAATAGTTATTAAATTTAAAATAATTATTTTTCATTAAATTGATAAAGGAACATAATAATACTAAATAGCTTTACTAAATAATAATTATTATTCCTTTCTGAGGAACACAAAAAATCACAATTTGCCCATAAGGACATAATTTTTTAAAATTATCAACACAATAAATTATTATTATATTATTTTCTTAAATTAATAGTTATTAAATTTGAAATAATTATTTTTTATTAAATTGATAAAGGCACATAATACTAAATAGCTTTACTAAATAATAATTATTATTCCTTTCTGATGAACACAAAAAATCACAATTTGCCCATAAGGACATAATTTTTTTTTAATTATCAACACAACAAATTATTATTATATTCTTTTCTTAAATTAATAGTTATTAAATTTAAAATAATTATTTTTTATTAAATTGATAAAGGAGCATAATAATACTAAATAGCTTTACTAAATAATAATTATGATTCCTTTCTGATGAACACAAAAA